GGAAACCTTTGTGTGGCAATTTTAATGAAGACTTTAGAAATATTTGAAACCACTTCGTGAAAGTTTTCTCTTGGAGGGTTTTTTGATCAGTGGCAATGGACGAAAGCGCGAAGAAATTCTCTCGTTCAATCTTCGAAAAGGGTTGCAGCCAGTATATGATGGATACACGTAGACTAGTCTTCATCGACTATCTTGTGAGGAGTGAAGAGAGGGCCGCTTATTCTTTCTTTTTTCCTATTCAAGAAAAAAACCTTATTTCACCATACTAAGGCGTCAGTTCGTTTCCGGAACATTGTATTGCTCAGATTGGTCCCCTAATGATTATTGCTTATTGGGACTTCTCAAATAATTGCTGCTTGTATCGAATAGAGAACTCGAATGGAAAGCTATTCACGATCTAGAACTGTTTGATAGATGAAATCGGATTATAGGGAATTATATTGAAAACGAAGATCTGATTTTGTCTTTACTCGGTACTTGGCATGTTGATCACGCTGGCAAGAGAACAATGCCGTGATTGAATTCATCCTTCGAAAAATGATTTCCAATTTCGTTGCGAAACCTTTGCAATCAAAATTGTTCTCTCTATTTACGTTGGTTGGCGTGTCAGTTCAATAATACCCGACGAACGCCTTGTGACATCTTTTATCTAAAATCCATAGTCCATTTTAACCCTCGCTTCAACAATGTTTCCTATTATCGAGTTACGTCTAATACGAGAATATTTCTAATGCAGAAGTGCTTACATACATTTTTTCATAAAATCTCTGAATGCATTGTTTTCCGGAGGACAACAACAATTGATCGAAAAAGTTATGAAAGAAAAAGTCATTTTAGAACAGATGCTCGACACAACCTATCATCTCATCATTGAAAGATTACAATTGAAAAATACTTTATTCATAGTGAATATGTTTGCTAAACAATAGGAAGTCTTTCAGCTCGCCATAGCAACTCTTCTTCTTGCTAACATTTACTGTTTTTCACTTACTATAGTGTGCGTATGTGATGCCTATTGTCAAACCTAAACTGTGAGTATGAACTAAACTTGTACATGCGACGTCCTATCCCATTAGAAAGGTAATGAGGTAATCGATAGTCGAATCTTCTGCTGATCAAGAATATATATGTCCGTTGTATTGTGAAGCCTGGATATTACAACCGGAAGAGCCATGTATCCATTGTCGCCAGACATGATTCAATCTCAGGATATATGTGCAGGCATGCATTCTGCCCTTTGAGTGTAAAAAAAAAAAAAAAAAAAAAAAAAAAAAACACTTTTTTTAACTTTTAAAGAAGAGCATAGGCTTTAACAAAAAGTCTGTTTCCTGTAGTTCTTATTTAACTTAGTCTTGCAGTTCATCGATATTACGAGTGTGCCAGTAAATGCTACCAGTTTACCTGAAGAACGAAACTATCAACCGACGCGTTTGTATCTCGCTTTAAAAGATAAACTAACTAAAATGTTGCTAGTAGTAGTAGTAGTAGTGATCCAATGATGATGATAACGAACGATATACTGTTTTGTATTTTGTATATTGAGCAAGATAAGGGTGCAGAGAGTGGGTGAAAGAGTTCTCTCTATAAGTTAGGATTTAATTGCACACTTGTGGTCTATGGACGTTTGTAAATTTGTAAGCGTTTACATGCATTTATGTTATGTGTATGCATGCAAGTGAAATGTTTGCTCAGGCATGCATATTTACCAAATGTTTACGCTTCAATTGTTTAATGCTATTAAATGTGGATATTGTATGGGTAAAAGTACATATTATATATGCATATAGTTATATTAGTGTATGCGCGTGTATGTTGTGTATTTATATATATATATATATATCTGCAGATGCATATAGGCTTTTGTACATACACATACACACACACATATATATATATATATATATATATATATATATATTTATATTTATCTAACCATATATAGAATTGCAATCGTTCTCTTTCTTATACGTTATGCCCAGCAAGAAGCCGGCTTTAAGGAATGAGTTCATAGCACTTGAATGCTGTATTTGAAGAGCAATTACGTACTCGTGTAGCGGCTAAGGTTGATAATGATGGCAACAACTTTTGTCTGCATATATGCCTGTGTGCCTCTTGCATGACTGCATGTGTATATGTGTGTGTGTGTGCATACATATATATATGAGCTTATAAAAGGCAACCTTAGATTTAACTCGTTGTGTGTTAAGAAAAATGTTTTTTGCATTTTTGTTTTTTGTTTTTTTTTTTTTTTTGTTCTTCATCTACTTCCGGTTAAAAGTTTTTGTTTTACTATGTTTTGAGTTATGAACCCATCCATATGTGTCGATTTTTCATTTTTAACGTGATGTGCACACACACATACACACTTACGCATTATGCTTTGCTTAAAAATAAAAAAAAACAAAAACAAAAGGCAACAACAATAACAATAACAATTAACTCTCTGCGAAGATGTGTAAGAAGAACTCGTTATGCTCTTTTCTTGGTAACGGTAAGTATGCAGTTCTTCTTTTTCTTTGCTCTTTTCTTCTTTTGCGTTTGTACTTTTATTGCTGCTGCTGTTGCCGATGTTGTTGCTCTTCTTCTTGCTGCTGCTGCTGTAGTTGTTGTTGTTGTTGTTGTTGTTGTTCCTTTTTTTATTTTTTGTCATTTTTTGTTTTCTGTTGTGTTTTTTTTTTTTTTTTTTTTTTTTTTTTTTTTTTAATTCTAAAACTCATCATCAAAAGTTGTGTTTGGCGTGGTTATGGTTTTAGGTTATTGTGGTTTGTATTTTGTGCTTATGTTGGTTATGCCATTTGTTGGTGGTTTCTGCGGCATAAATGATGCCACACAACAGAGATTTCTGCTTTTCTTTCTTTTTTTTTTGTTTTTTTACTTCTTTCTTTCTCTCTATGTTACTCTTGTACTTATGCTCTGTGAATAACCTTAATTAAAATCATAGTTTATCCTGACACTGGTTCTCATTAACAGGAAAGAGGAGCCGTTTTTTTTTTTATTTTTTGCTTTCTATGTCATGCCGTGAGCCCGAGCTTGGCAAGCAGTTAGTCAGGCAG